GCCTACAGCTAGGATGACCCGTGTAAAGATTTGCACAATTTGGACGACTGACTCGCTGCATGAGACGGCCGGCCAAAGCTACAGGGACTCTCACCTGACTGTGTTCACCTTCCCGCTGCTCCACTATGGTCTCTTCCTCCGCCATAAGCAATGACTAAAACCTGGTACTTCTAGGTATGGGGTAGCATGCGACTCCCTCCACTTCTTCCCATGTGACAGCACTGATGTTTGGCGATTGGCCACTCGCGTCACACAGAGGGAAGTTCTCAGCCCGGCGGAAGCTCCGGCCAGTACTGCATTGGAGCTATCTCTGTCCTTTCACTACTAGCAAGGCGAGCGCAGAGTATAAGCTGCTGTGGGGGAAACCTGCACAGCGTTCACTTTAAGACGGTCAACTTCTGACAATGAAACAGATCAGATATAGATGTAGACTTCTGCCAATGGAACAGATCGGTGATAAGGCACAGTGGCTCCCGTGAGGCTGCTCTTGATCAAGTCGGGAGTCCAGATTGGAAGATTCACATTTATAAAGTGCAATGAGAGTGCCAAACAGTGCAAGAGTCCAAGAACATCCATTACTGGTATTGATTCCCAACAAACAAAACACAGCTAGTGCATTTTATGGCACTCGACACCCCCCCCCGGGCTTCAAGTAGAACTCTGGGCAAACTTTCTCTTAACTGCTCTGCACGGGTTAAGCGCTCATTTTGGTCTAGGTGCAAAAATAAAGTTCTACTCACCTGATCCTCAGAGCAGGCATGCACTTAGCCCGGTCCCTGGAGTCTCTCTGCAGCTAATACACAGTGTATAGGACATGAAGATGCTGAGGGACATACCATCGCTGCAGCGCTCTGAGGTTCGGGCGAGTATAATTTTGTCATTTTTGCAGCTAGACAAAAACGAGCGGTGAACCTTACCAGTGGGGGGGGAGTCCTACTACAAGGGTTAAGAAAAAGTTTGCCCGGAGTAGTTCTTTAAACCTGTCATCAAAAATAGGTCACAGGTCACCAAGAGTTCAATATTTTCTGTATACGGTATAGACAGAAATCAGCAACTAACTAACTCCTGGTGCCACTGTTGAGTCTTTAGGACTTTGCATTATGTTTAAGCCCTGAAGAAGAGGGAAGTTTTCCGAGCCACCGGAACGCATCGGTTGTTCTGGGTTTGTGAAGCGATATTAAAAGCTTACAGATTCTCAAACGGTTTGGCGCTCTCACTGAACTCTGCAGCCTGTGCTCACAGCTCCCCACGCCACCATTATAGGCGATTCCATCGCCCCCGAATGGCAGACAATGCCAGAAGAGAAGTTACCAGAAGGATTAAAGAAGCCGACTAGCAAGTTGTGGTGCCATTCATTCTCAGGCTAGGTTCAGAACTCAGCGACACCCGGGATGCCCGTCCTGGGGCCCGCGCGATCGTGTTCTAGTGCACACAGCGGTTGCCTACGCGACCCCATTGATTTCATTGGCTTTAAATTTGCGCGGCAATCGCTAAAAAAAAGGTAAAAGTATCTTTTTTTTGCCACACACGACGCGCAGGTTTTTTGTTTTTTTTAGCTGCGATTGTGTTAGATTGCACGGGGGCGGAATCGTGGCGGGAAACCGTGCGATCCGGCCTGATGCGATTGGGGTGCCATTAGCGGGATCGGCTGTGACCGCCCGACGATCCTCGTGGTTTTGTGCACGATTGCCATGCGGTCAGGAGTCATGAACCTGGCCTCGATGGAACCACAACACTAAAGTAACGCATCCTCAACCTACATGCATTGCGCAACACATAAAGACCCACTACCTTGCCTTGTGAAAGATAGTGCAAGTCCACTTTTGGGGATGGAGTGGCGTGTAGCCAACCCCTTCATAAGAACGGCCCGCCCCATTGCAATGCACGGTAAGGCAACGCCCAACACCAAGGTTTGAATGTGGCCCTGTGGGTCGGGTTCAAGCACGCAAAGTGTTCTGACCAACGGGAATATCGGTAGTGTTTTGTTCCAGATTTTAGCTTTGAACTAAATCAATGCAAATCCTGACATTTGTCTTCCTGGAGGAGTATTTGTAACTATTGTAGTGTTTATGTCATTGTCCCTCTCACCCCAAGGCCTTGTTCACACCAAAGCGCGGAGCAGGTGCAGAGCAGAGCAGGTGCAGACCGGATCAAAACTGCGTCCAATGTATTCCAATGGTATTTTGGGCTCTAGTTCACACCGCAGCGTGCAGATCCAGAGCAGGTGAAAAAACTGCGGCAAGCCCTATTTTACCTGCTCTGGAACGCATCAAAAACGCGTGCAAGTGCCTGAAAGCCCATGTTAAACTTTAAAAAAAAATTTTTAACCAAAAACGCCCAGGAACGCATCAAAAACGTGGCACAACCCACTGCACTGCGTGTGCAGAAACCTGACCGGATCTGCTCTGCGTTTGGTGGGAACAAGGCCTAAATCCGACACATAAAAAGAAAAAAAGTTAGACGTTTTGGAATTCGCAGCGACAATCCGGATTGCTGAGCTAGGACGTCATCTGCCCAACAAAAACCAGATTATAAAATGTAAAGCCGAAACTCACCTCTAAATACATGAATAAAAGTGACCTAAAACGTTGAATATTTGACATTGGTGGCGGTGAGTGCAGGCGCCGTCTGCTTTGTATCAGCTCTTGGACTAATGTAGTGTCATAACCCGCTGTGCTGTGCTACATGTCTACCACCTAAAACAGTGGTGGCGAACCTTGGCACTCCACAACTACAAATCCCAACATGCCTCTGCCTCTGGGAGTTATGTCTGTGGCTGTCAGAGCCTTGCAATGCCTCATGGGACTTGTAGTTCCAAAACAGCTGGAGTGCCGAGGTTCGCCACCACTGATCTAGAATATTACACACACACACCGGGATTAAACTGGTCTGCAAAGTAAGTAGCGGAACCCACGGCAGCCAATCAGGAGCCGTCCTTCGCGGCCCCCTGAGAAGGACCCTTGCTCTCTGTGGGGAAGCAGGGGTCTCTCTGCAGAGGACGGACAACCTCTTCCCCCTGCTAAGTCAGAGTTCTGTAACCAGCAGGGCGAAGGAGGTTTGCTAATTGCAGAGCTAGAAGTGTGACTCAGTGAGCGGGTGCAATCAAACCTCTGCAGAGAGACTACTGCTTCCATGCACAGAGATCCAGGGTCCTTCTCTCCATCATGGCGGCTCAAACCAGCTGCTGATGGACACTGTGCTTCATCACGCCATTGATTTACATACCACATACATTGGAGGGGAATTCGTCAAAATCTGGAGCGGCTGTGCACGGCAACCAATCAGCTTCTCTCTTTCATTTTCAAATCTTAACTGACCAAACTGAAGAGAGAAGCTGATTGGTTGCCATGCACAGCTGCTCCAGATTTTGTCTGCTCCAGATTTGATAAATTCTCCCCATTGTATCCTCAATCCAGTCAGTATACATAGGGGTGAATATATCAACAATGGAGCAGACAAGATCTGGAGCGGTTGCCTATGGCAACCAGTTTCTCTCTTCAGTTTAAGTTAAGCTTTGAAAATCAAAAGGTGGATGCTGATTGGTTGTCATGCACAGCTGCTCCAGTGTTGATAAATTCCCCTTTATTAAGTGGTGATGTGGCACTTCAATCTCAGATCCATTTCTCCGCAGCATGGTGGCAGGGGCCAGGCTTTCCACTTTCTCTTTAGGACAGCCAAAGCCTGTTAGTCTTTGCACACCTAATGTTTTGATGCACCTGGAATGTATTTAGCAGAATTAAATCTTAAATTGACACTATACTCCGGAGTTAAATCTTACAAATGCATTCAGGTACCTTAACTATTGACAACTATATATCTTATTTGTGTATCACTCGGCTGTAGATCCTCCAATCATCTCTGAATTGGTGCTGACACTGTCCTTCCTTCTGGAGGGGGGCTACGTCTGTTCCCCATGGTCCCTGTGTGTGTTGTAAAGTAGTCACCACTCCAAGCTCACTCCCGGGATGGACTACAATCAGCTTTAGTTTTATAATCTGTATTGAGATTGTAGTCCATCCCGGGAGCGAGCTTAGAGCGGTGACTACTTTACAACACACACAGGGACCATGGGGAACAGACGTAGCCCCCCTCCAGAAGGAAGGACAGTATCAGCACCAATTCAGAGATGATTGGAGGATCTACAGCCGAGTGATACACAAATAAGATACATTGATGTTAATAGTTGAGGTACTTGAATGTATTTGTAAGATTTAACTCCGGAGTTTACTGTCACTTTATTTCGACTTGCATGTCTTACATAGATAATGTGTAACAGTTGCCCCTCTGGATCAAGTTATGAAGGGAGCTGGCTCATGTAAAACACCGTGCCCTTTACTCAATGCCTAGTGTGCTAGTTAACTGGGCACGGCAGGGGTGTTCTGCAAGTATTCTGGTAAGGAAGGAGGTTAATACAATTCCAGTCATCTGAGCAAATCGGGGACCTTTGATGACATTTTGGACAGGTCCGTGCTTAATTAGAGCGGTGACATAAGGGAAGCCCATCTGCTTTCATCTCCCTGACAACTCTATCTTAGACAATCAGCTCAGGATTCCTCCAGGATCTGACTACACAGCGCACTAGGCCTTGTGTAAAGGGGCGTGTCATTTTGTGATGGGATAAACACCAATGTTGTCCCATGAACGTTGCTGAATGCCTGGCCTCCAAGCTGATCCTCTGGCTTCAAAACTTTTGTAAACTGGAAGAAATATACAGCTGGTAAATGTGGAAAGCCGCACACTTGGGTCAGCTCATAGATGGAAACAACGGCTAGCATGGCATGTTCCCTTTAAATTGACGGACCATTAAAAAAAAAAGTGCGCTGGGCACTGTAGTTCCACAACATCAGGAGAGCTGCAGATTTCTGACAAAGACTTAAAGTGACTGTAAAACAATATATATATAGAGATCTATATCTATCTATAGATATAGATCTCTATATATATTATATTCTCTTTAAAGTGGTCTTGATGTGAGAAGTTGAAGGTCGATGTAAAATATAGGCGATGTGGAAACACTCTTCTCTGAGGGTTGGTGTGGTCATAAGTGTCCAAGGATTCACAGAATTATTCCCTGCAATGAGAAAGGCAAAACTAATGAAAATGTTACACTGCAATTGTGTAAAAATGAATTAAAACTGAACTGGAGGCAGATATAAAAGACACAAATGAATGAAGTAATGTAATCATTAATAGACTTGACATCTTGCAGTCACTGTACAGCAGAGCTTAGGGTGGGGGAAGGAGCAGCAGCACAAGGAGCTGATCAGTTGTTCTGCATTATGATGATAGGAGGAGAAAACAAAGTGACAGAGGGGTGGGCTCATCACCCTACTGCTCCTCCTTTTACTTTCCAGCCACAGGCTGGGGGGAGGGACAGGACCTGCCAGTGTTCATTAAAGGAGAACTATGAGGGGGGGGTGCTTTTCACTCACGTCATAGTTCTAGCCGACCTGTGACAATGAGACTGTCACAGGTGGGCTCAGTAGATCGGGAGGTGAGCGAACACATACCGGCGTTCGCTCACCTCTCGATCCTGTAACAGCTCTCTGCCGTGACAGGGGAGGGGCTGGATTCCCCCCCTCCCGGCTCCTCCAGCACTGACTGGCAGATCGGACGGGGGAGGGGGCGGGTACAGCTGGCTCTGCCTCTGGATAGGCAGAGCTAGCTGTCAGTCACGCAGCTGGGCGGATCCAGACATAATTGTCGGGATCCGCTTCGGCGTCTCAGTATATAGGGAGCTGTAGCTCGCGGTATACTGAGCTTAGGGTGACGGGAGGACGCTAGTTTGTGTCCTCCCGTTACCCTAAGGAGAACTATGGGGAAAAGCCTTAACCCCATAGTTCTCCTTTAATTGCATCAGGTCTACTGTGCTGCAAGACAGGGCTGTACTGCGTGGCAGAGCTATGTAAATATCAGGACTGGATGGATAGAAATAAATCCTTAAGCAGGCAACTCTGGTAACAGTATTTCAATTTGTGTATTCAGCTGTTTTCCTTGAGGTTCTTTAACTATTAAAGCTTATTTAAAGTTTATATAAACCCATTAGAATGACTTGGTGCATAGGAGCATTAAATAAAACCCTAAAAGGAACTGGCCATAACTCTCATCATTTCACTCAGCTTAAAATCCTTTTTTGCCTCTTATTTTGCAGTCATGTGATGCAGTCCATGTACCTCTGCATCTCTCTGTCCAATAGGGGGGGCGGAGATTAGTTTCAGCATGAAAGGACACACGCCCCAGCACCCCTTAAGACATGCAAACTCCCCCATGCTGGTCCTTTAGAAATGCATGTGCCTCCCTGCTGACCCCTGTGGCTGCAGAGTTTGGCAAATCAGTTGCTTGATTATATATCAGACCTGTTTCTGGAAGATTGCACAGCTAATGTCTGCAACCACCCATTGGCCAGCAAGGAGGAGCATGCACTTGCGAAGGGATGCCGGAGATGTGTCATAAAGATTGGGCAAGGAGTGTCACATGGGGCAGCTTCATGGGGAGAAAAGAGAAAGCTGCCTCCCAGGAAAACATTGAACATGTGCAGTGAAAGTGGCAACGTTGAAGATGGAGGGTCGGCTGAAGTAGTGTTGCCATGCTGAATAAAGAAGTGGAGGAAATGACGGGATCATCCAGGTATTCCCCATCTACAAATTTAGTGGAAGAAACAGTGAGAACTCAGGAAAAATTAATTTAAGATCCCACCTCAACCTAACCAGTGAACCATCACATTCTCAAACAATTCATCCCCACACAGCTACCTCATGTATCATTTCCCCCTCCTCTTTCAGATTGTAAGCCCTCAGGGGCAGGGCCCTCCTTACCATCTTGTCTTGAATTGTATTGTAATGTCTTCCTTACATTGTAAAGCGCTGCGCAAACTGTTGGCGCTATAGAAATACTATGTAATAATATTAATAATAATAATAATTTAAGAGCTTCTTAAACATAGACACAGTGAACTGCTTTCAACCAGCCAAGTATTGTTGGTTTGTGTACAGCTGCTCATACTATACCTTATATCCTAAAATATGAGATTTACACCATCTCATACTGGTTGTTGGTAATGTAGCGCGATAGACAGCAAGCCAGGAACATCCCTATGAGCTAGAAAGTCATGAAAAAAAAGATTCAGATCAATAATACAATCAGAAATGAGACAGGAAAAAAGTGCACTCTGAGAGACCGAGACTATATGCCTCCCACTGACACCAAGGATGGGGGGCACTATTACTCTCATTGACACCAAGGATGAAGGGCACTATTCCTCCTATTGACACCAAGGATGGGGGGCACTATTCCTCCCATTGACACCAAGGATGAAGGGCACTATTCCTCCCATTGACACCAAGGTTGGGGCACTATTCCTCCCATTGACACCAAGGATGAAGGGCACTATTCCTCCCATTGACACCAAGGATGAAGGGCACTATTCCTCCCATTGACACCAAGGTTGGGGCACTATTCCTCCCAATGACTGTACATTGTTCCTCCCTCTGACTCCAACGATGGCGCACTATTCCTGCCACCGATAATAATGATAAAGTACTATTTCTGCTCCAGACCCCAACAATGGGGCATTCTTCCTCCACCATTGGCCACAGGCACTAGGCCGTTATTTGCTCCCACTGCTCATCCACGCTTTTTTGCTGCCACTTACTACCAAGCCACAGGGATGGTGTTGTTCCACTGACACTGGGTTATGTTATACTCCCGCTACAGTCCTGACCCCTAAACTCTTGTGGACAGTGACCTGGCCCAATGTTTATCACATGTCAGGACTAGTCTAGGACTTGAGTCCTTATTTTTTTACACAGGGGTCATGCTCACCTGGAAGCAGGCTATGCCAAATGAAATCCCAGCTACCACGCCCATCCGTGACTCCATGATGATGGTGACAAAAGACATACAGCCCTGAAAGAAATACAAAACAAATCAAATAGAAAAAATGAAACTCCTAAACAAGTACCTGAGCTATGAAGAAAGAAAAAAAAAGTAGGGTATAAATAATATTTGTTACCCTGTCCCCCTTCCATCACTGATCAAGTCCCTGATCAGGTGACTTAACCTGCATGTCCATCCAAAACTTGTTTTTTCCCCTAAGTTTCAGATGAAGTTGGGAAGAGTTAGAGCTTGTTTGGTTTTTACTGCGATTAAGACCTCCATTGCTGAGATTTCCGGCACCCACACAAGCGATTTAGGCTGCAGTGCCTGTGATCACCCTGCTACTAATCACTAGAGATGTCTACACATAGGAAACAATGGAGTGCTGCATGTAAACACCATCAACTGCCCAATTATAGAACACTGTACTTCGAATAGCAATTAAACACTACTACAAAAAATATATAT